CCTCTACATTCAGAAATGCCCCAAAGTCAACGTGACTGGTTGCTCAACTCTTTCCGTGGTAGAAGGATTCGCTTTCTGGTCACGACAGACTTACTCAGTCGCGGAATAGATCTACCAGGGCTCCAGTACGTCATCCTCTTCCGACCACCCGAAGACCCTACAGCGTATGTGCACAGAGCCGGGCGGACGGGAAGGGCCGGTGACGAGGGCGAGGTCATTACATTGTATGATAAGAGTGATTGGCCAATGATGCAAAAGATCATGGAAACGACCAAACAGAATTTCGAGAACAGCAGTCTTCCGACGGAAGAAGAGCTGAGATCACACGCGTATGCAGCTGTCGCAACGGAGATCTTGTCGGTTCCATCCAATTCCTGGAAGTGTCTTGAAGCGATCGCCAGAGAATTGGTGACCGAAGGCAAGGCACGGGAAGTCCTAGCACGAGTGGTATCGCTGTTGAACACAGACGCTCAGCTGCAACCGGAAAAAAGCAAGGTTTCGCTCTATTCCGGAGTGCCGGACTTCACCGCGGTCCTCATATCTGATTTCGACCACACTCTCTACCCCTCAGTGGAGGCTCTACAGTCACGTGTACCATGTCCCCTCGAGAGGGTGAGGAAAGCTGAGGCTGGCTGGGTTGCTGATGTTGCGAACTCTAATGTGGATCACTTGATGAAGTCTGGTGTTGTGGAAGTGAACATTTTGGATAGAGTACCCAAAACGTTTGATGCTGAGAAGACGAAAAAAGCGAAGGGGAGGGGCGTGCCGTGGCGACATGCACGAGAACTGACCAAGTTGAGAGCAGCCCGAATCCGACATAAACGACAGTCTCGGAAGAGTCAATTGCAGCAGAGTATGCGGATAACATGATATCTTTCTGAATCACGTTTCTGTCTGCATTCATGATGATTGTGTTGTCATGTCCCTGTATCTTTCATCCCTCTCATTGGACGATCATCGAATTCCTCTCGCGGGGTTGCCTCCTACAAAGAGTGACGCCTCTCCTGGTTAAGTCGCTGTCTTGGAGCTCAAAGAGGGGACCATGCTATCTCCGAGATATGCCATCCTTCGCTATCTGGGATCGGTAAGCTTCCGTTTTTCGATGTTGTCTGATTGGACTCTCCTCAGTGAAAGGAGTCTAATCAAACAACATGGAAAAGTGAGAAGTTATCACGCCTGGATTGAAGTCCTCATGTAGTTAAAGCCCTCTGCTAGCCATAACCGTCAATCCGTTTTCTTGGAACCCCTTCGTATTGACGAGCCAATGAACATAGTCAAGGACACTCCGTAAAGGTAGCGGCTCTCACGGAGATGGATGGGGAGCTGAGCATGCAGCTCGCAAGATGAGATTGCCATATGCTGCCGGTGTTGTTAACAAGTTTGCCGTCGGCAACCAGACGACCGTTACTGATCTGGTAAGGAAGCATACATCCATAGTAAGGTACAATTCTGAGATACTTCCATAAAACACTCACATCGCTCTACCCATCGCATTTATGATATTTTCGCAGTTGCTGACCAATATGGTGAAGGTCTCCACCAGCGGCTTGATTGATGGTTTCCCTAGGAAACTCTTATATGTCTCCACTAGAGTCTACAATGTATTCGAAATCAAATGTATGTCGTCTACAGTCTTCGTATTCTAGGTTAAAGGGGAAACGTGGAGTTTCACCGTCAAACTTTGACGCGCCACCCGTACGGAAAGTGTGTGGACAGATCTACTCGAGATCGTCATCGGGTCCTAAAGGTAGATAAATGTATCGGATACTACTTAAGCTGTGGTTGGTAAGGTTGTCAGGGGTCACTCCTGAGGAGTGCGAACAGTAATCCTCAAATCACTCCCACGGAAGGCTCTCAATGTAACCGATCGTTTGACGTAAGTACACGTGAGCTAACCTGCGCTTCCCCGCCCGTCATTTACTGTCTACTCCCCACAGGCAGGGCCGTACAGTCGGACAACAAATGGTAGCTAATAGTTGCCGACTCGGGTCTCCGTCCGACCAGTGGCCGCCGAATGCCGAGTCCATTTACACACAGCAAACAATC